TATTGGTCAGTAGAGATGTTGTACCCAAGGCAGGCCCTTTCGAAGTTCTCTAAGAAGGCCTCAGTATCATCACCTGCCTTGTAGGTGGGGAACTTTCTGGGATGGGAAGTGGTACCTGGAGAAGGATTGCTAGGGTTTGTTGGTATATTCTGCTGGGCCTTTATCCTCTCCATCTCCTCCACATACTTCCTCTCTTTTTCCTTCTCCTCCAGTTCTTTGTCCCTCGCTTCCATAGCTCTCCTGTGAGCAGCTGCTTGGTGTTGTTCTGCTTCTCTCGCTGCCTCCCTTTCTTGTTCCTTCTTCAGCTGCATGAGTTCTATCTGTCTTTCATGTTCCCTTTGTCTTTCCTCAGCCTGAAATTTGGCTAATTCCAGCTGTAGTCGAGCTGAGGATTTGGTCATTCTAACCTCTCTGTTTTTAACTAACTTTACACCCGAGGTTTAGAAATAAACAAACAAAACTTGGCTGTAAAATTTTGCTGTGCTGCAATAGAATACCTATTCTCTGATAGTGATTGTCAGCCTACAGAAAAAGACAATTCCCTTGTCTCTGCTCTGGGCCCAAATTAAAGCAAAAAACCTCCAACTACTTGGAAACCTGCTTACCCAGCCCAAAGAAAAAGCAAATGGGTAGAACACACACCCCCTATTTACTTTTAGGAAGAAAAGAAAAAAAAACCTCTGGATTGGAAGATTTCCCTGCAGGAGTTAAGTACCCTGCCTCCAGGCAAAAAAACCTGCAATTCACAAGATAATCCCCTTTTGTCTCTGCTTGGCCACAAAGCAGAGAGAAACCAAGCTGCTTTCAGTTTCAAAGCTGCTTTTTCTGGACTTTCTTTCCAAAGAAAAAAAAAATTTTTCCTTTTTAAAATCTGTATTTCTAGTTCAAAAAATCTCAACTGGATCTCAAATGATTTCAGGTTAATCCCACCACTGTGCCACCATGTCAAGGTTCCTCCCCCACTCTGAACTCTAGGGTACAGATGTGGGGACCTGCATGAAAAACCTCCTAAGCTTATCTTTACCAGCTTAGGTCAAAACTTCCCCAAGGTACAAAATATTACACCCGTTATCCTTGGAATGGCCGCTACCACCACCAAACTAATACTGGTTACTGGGGAAGAGCTGTTTGGACGCGTCTTTCCCCCCAAAATACTTCCCAAAACCTTGCACCCCACTTCCTGGACAAGGTTTGGTAAAAGCCTCACCAATTTGCCTAGGTGACTACAGACCCAGACCCTTGGATCTGAAGAACAATGAACAATCCTCCCAACACTTGCACCCCCCCTTTCCTGGGAAATGTTGGATAAAAAGCCTCACCAATTTGCATAGGTGACCACAGACCCAAACCCTTGGATCTGAGAACAATGAAAAAGCATTCAGTGTTTTACAAGAAGACTTTTAATAAAAATAGAAGTAAATAGAAATAAAGAAATCCCCCCTGTAAAATCAGGATGTAGATATCTTACAGGGTAATTAGATTCAAAAACATAGAGAACCCCTCTAGGCAAAACCTTAAGTTACAAAAAAGATATACAGACAGAAATAGTTATTCTATTCAGCACAATTCTTTTCTCAGCCATTTAAAGAAATCATAATCTAACACATACCTAGCTAGATTACTTACTAAAAGTTCTAAGACTCCATTCCTGTTCTGTCTCTGGCAAGAGCAGCACACAGACAGACCCTTTGTTCCTCTCCCTCCTCCCAGCTTTTGAAAGTATCTTGTCTCCTCATTGGTCATTTTGGTCAGGTGCCAGCGAGGTTACCTTTAGCTTCTTAACCCTTTACAGGTGAGAGGAGCTTTCCCCTGGCCAGGAGGGATTTCAAAGGGGTTTACCCTTCCCTTTATATTTATGACAGCATGGAATAGCACAAACTATTGACTAAGGTGAAGATGCAAATCTATGAGACTTGTGTGCCATCATCCCTGCTTTATTGTGCAGAAACATGGACTATATATGCTAGGCACATCAGGAGACTGAATAGCTTCCACATGAAATGCCTGAATAAGATTCTGAAAATAAAGTGGGAAGACAAAATACCAAAACGCAGAGATGCTGGAGTGCACAGGACTGACGCATTTAGAAACCACTATTAATAAGAAGAGTTTGTGATGGCTCGGTCATGTCAGGGAAGAGACCATATCCCCAAGAATATTTTGTACATAGAGATTTGGGATGGCTCTAGAAAGCAGAGTCCCCCTTTATGGCAGTACGTGTGCAAAAATGGTGTGAAGTCATTTAACATCAATGTAGGGAGAGCGTACAAAATCCCGTCCAATTTGGAGGGAATATCTGGCACTGCTCCTAGAGGAGAGAAGGTCAAAGGAGCAACACAGAGTTGCTGACACTCTGCAGGACTTGAAATTCCCTTCTTTGTCGATGCCTAGGATCTCACAGGGTTGGAATGCTGCATTCTGCCCTCAAAACCAGTCCCACATGAGGTGACAATTAGTTAAAATCTCCATGAAGTCAACCTGCCATTTCTCCCAGTGGTTTGGACCAAGGAAATTTGACAAAAAACCTGCAGCACATAGTTAACATTTCACATGCATGGAGAGTGAAAATTAAAAGCTTCCACAGCAACTGTAACTTGGCCACATTACACATCGTGACATTACTCAGTAAATATTCCATATTTAAGACAGCAGGTTTTTCCTTCTGAGCATCCATTTAAGCCTAACATTCAATTGGTCAAGTTACAGTTGCTGCTGAAAATATAACTTTTTGAATTTTTGACTTAGTCTTTAAAAAGACAAGCCCAGAAAGATCCAGCGATGATGACTTTGTTTCTTTGTGTTTAGCATATAATTTGCATCTTCTTCTTGGGCTTCTTCGTTCCTGTAAAATATGAAATTACCAGGTATTTTAGTCTTTACAAAAGTAAATACTAACTATATTATGACTGTGACAATAATGTGAGAAGTACAACTGTGCAGAATTTGCCAGACTACAGCCATACCATCCAAGTATATACCGTCTTCAGGTATGGTCTCATTTGTTGGAGGTGCTTGAGTAGGTATCTTTCAAAATGTACTGGATTCTGTTCACAGATAGGACCTCTGATGTTGGGAGCCACAGGATGCAAACAAAAGGGAGCCTCTGAGTGCTGCAATGCTATTGCCCCTCCATCCCCTTTGACTTGCCAGGTACTGAGAAGGCAAAACAGTAAGAAATGGGGAACAGCTGCTATCAAGTAGACTGGAATCTGGTTAACAAATGCAGCTAAAGAGTGAGGGTGATGATGCTCTCAGCTACTTGCCAACAGCCATTTGCAACCTCTCCACAGAAGGATCAAGCAGTTCATAGGAAACTATCACTTGTCTATCACCAAAATATCACCTAAAAGATCAGGGAACTCCAAGTGAGTACATGTAGTAAATGGGAATGATTAGACACAAGTGGGAAATTTTGGAGAGTGAAAGTTCATAACACCCCTCGGAAGTGCTCCATCTCACTAGTTTTCTCTCTTGTTTAAACGGACACTGTTAATTTAGAACTCACATTTTCTTATTTTTGTATAGGACACCTCAGATTACTATGACTGAAAAACACAGAGGAAAAATGTTTCTATTTTCCCTCCCTTTCCTTACTTTGTGGATTGCTCTTTGTGTATAGTCACTTTATCTATTTCCCCTGTAAAATCAGCTGAAACCACATTTTCAGGAGTCAGAGTAGCAGCCGTGTTAGTCTGTAGCCACAAAAAGAAAAGGAGGTCTTGTGGCACCTAAGTGAGCTGTAGCTCACGAAAGCTTATGCTCAAATATATTTGTTAGTCTCTAAGGTGCCACAAGTCCTCCTTCTCTATTTTCAGGAGTGTTCACTAGTTTTTTGTTCATGTTTTTGGCAGCCTAACTTGAGACACTTGGGACCTGATTTTCAGAGGTTCTGAGTAAATGCAATTCCTAGAGCCCTGTGTTTTCTGCAAATGTAAACTACCACAAAACACCAACAGAAAACAAAAAACTTACCCCACAGCAGGTTTCAGAGTAACAGCCATGTTAGTCTGTATTCGCAAAAAAAAGGAGTACTTGCTTAGTACTAATTGGTTAGTCTCCAAGGTGCCACAAGTACTCCTTTTCTTTTTACCCCACAGCAGCAGCTCCTGTCCCATAGGGCTGGGCCTGGCTCCCCACTTCAGATGTTGTGATTTGGCACATGAGTGCCACTCAGATTAGCCCATGCATTCCTCACTCAAATTTTGCCTGCCTCTCTCTCCATCCCCTGGTCACAACGGAAGTGTGGCTAGGCCAAACGTGAGCAGCACTGTGACCCTGTGCCTCAGGTTGCAAAGCCCGGAGTGTGGAGCCAGCCGCCCAGCTCGGTAAGAATGGAGCCACCACTGCAGGATGAGTGCTAGGCAGGCTCCCATCTTTGGGGCAGGACTCGACCATGATCAAATGAAACGCTCCCCCAAAACCTCAAAAAATGATTAAAAAAAACCAAAACCCAAACCCATTTACTTCGAACCCCAGAGCCTGCACCCCCAGCCCATAGCCCCCTCCCACAGCCTGAACACCTCACCCCAACCCTCTGCCCCAGCTCTGAGCCCCTCCCACACCCCTAACACCTCATCCCCAGCTGCCTTGGGTTGCTGGCATCAAGGCTCAAGGGTGCGGCTGTCGCTCCGCTTCCCCCCGAACCGCCCGGGCCTTGTTTCACTGGGCCGGGTCCCGCGGCGGGCGCTCCGGACAGGGCCAGGTAGAGCAGCCGCCGCCGCAGCAGCAGCAGCGCCGCCCCGGACAGGCAGCTCTGCAAGGCGCCCAGTACAGCAGCGGCCGCGGCTCCTGCGCATTCCTCCCCCTCGCGAACGCGCCTGAGCCCAGCTGCAGCCGCTGGAAAGTGCGAGCCGGCCCGTCGCGCGCTCCCCTGGCGCCTTCCAGGCCAGAACGCGAATCCGGGGCTCGGGAGTCGCCGCGCTCGTGCGCGAGGAGGCTGAACGCCCGGGCTCTCCAACCCCTGGCTGGCCTTGCGCCGCCGCTCGCGAGCCGCGCTGTGCAGGCAGGGCGGGGAGGGCTCGCGCGGGCTGAGGGTCCCAAGCACCGCGGGTTGCGCTGCCTGCTCCTCCTCCTCTTGAGCAGAGCCGCATGATGGCGGCAGCTGCGGCCGTGGTGGAGGTGAGCGTCAGCAGCACCGGGAGCAGCAGCAGCGACACGTCCAGCACCGGCGAGGAGGAGCGGATGAGGCGCCTCTTCCAGACCTGCGATGGCGATGGGGACGGTTACATCAGCAGGTAACAGCCGCAAGGGCAGGAAGGGCTTGGACAGCTGGGCTCAGGGATTCTCCTCTTCGCCCCCCCAAAAGTGGCATCGCAAGTTCTCAGCAAGTTTCTCGGGAGAGTTTGCAGTAGTTTGCAATCAGCAGCATTGTGCATGGGAGCTGTCTCTCCCTGTGCAATAGGGGCAGGCTGGACTGGACCGTCCTTTCTCAGCTCAGTTTGCGGGACCTTCTTGTGGGGCTAGTAGTTTGTTAGTCTTTCGTTTGGGTGGTTCTGGACATCATGTTGAGTGATTCTTCTCTCTTGCAATAACTTCCTGAAGATGGTGGTAAGAAGAGATCGAGCCCTTTTTAGCACTGAAGTAGATCGGAGCCCCTTTCGTTTCTGCAGGAGCAAGAGTCTGCTCTGAGGGCAGGATGCTTGCACTGTCCTGCTACTATGGGCAGCAGCCAGGGAGGTGAATTCACATGAACTCCTAGAAGTTAGAGATGTACAAGTCTAGCTTGTACATCTCTAGTCCCATCCACTCAATCATTCTGCCAGTGCATGGTTGTTCCTAAGTAACAGGGTACATGATGATGCTCCACTAGTATTCAAACTTTACAGCACAACATTTGGATAATCATTTCCCTCAGGTCTACAGCATGAGAATATCAGCTATGAAGGTATAGCAGGCATTTTCTTCTGAAATGTTGAGTCTGATTTAGTGTTCTGTTCCAATTTTCTGTGTTGGGATAGTGAAATTGGTTCACAGTGTCTTGCTTCCTATGTCGATGACCATCCTTTCCATTGGAATAGCAGGGATTAGCTGAAAGTTTAGTACATCAGTGCTAACAAATGGATATTTAGGAATCAAGGTGGGTTTTGTACACACAGCATATAGTTGCTAATTGCCTGGGGCCAACATTGTTTTATAATATTTTAACAGGTTTGATTTTTATTAATATTTCTGTTAACACAGACAAGGTAACTTCCAAGTGACTCACAAAGATTAAACCACAGATGTCTTCTTTACTCTAAGGAGTCTGATGGCACCTTAAAGACTAACAGATTTATTTGTTATTCTTCAAGGTGCCACTGGACTCCTTGTTGTTTTTGTGGATACAGGCTAACACAGCTACCTCTCTGATTCTTTACTCTAACATGTTAGACAAGTGGTGTATGGTAAACTTACAAAATTGTTGTAACTTAAAAATTCCTTTGCTCTTCAAGCATATAGTTTTGGCTGTGTCTTTCTTGAGACCCTGTTCTTGCAACTCTGTGTGCATGGGTGGACTCTTGTACCCACACAAAATCAATTTAAGGATCAGATAAGATCTTCATGGCAGTGATGATGGGCTTTAACTATGTTGTGTACAGCACTGAGCATGTTGTTGGAAATACATATCACACTTCTATATGTTCCTACATCGGTAGTTAGCAGCAGTCTGTTTTAAGTAGGAGAGGACTAGTGGCAGGGTGTTTTCTGTAAGGGGCCTTTAAATTTTTTTAATAAGCTTTTAGAATCAGGATAGGATTTTCAAAGGTGGTGGGGACCTGCAGCTCCAAATTAATTAAGTAGGAGCTGCAGGTGCTCTGCACTTTTGAAGAGTTGGGATGTGAGAGAAAGTTATTAGTCTAGGCTAGGAGCTCCTCTGAAACCGAAGAACATGAGGCTGAACAGAGGCCAAGTAAGCTATAATTCTCAACACAGTTTGAGATTAGACAATTGTTGAGAATCTCAAATACTGTGCATCAGTAAATAATGGGACTTTATATCTGTAGGTTAGTTTAAAAAGAGTCATCTTACATTAGTCATTTTGCCATTTTATTCTTATCTAATAGACATCCTGAGTATTTTTTCAACCAAGGGGCTATTTTATCAGTGGTTATTCTGAAATGAAAATACTGGAAATGTACCCTTTTATATATACCAGTTTGTCAAGTCCAGTAAAGATGATATGTTCCTTTTCGTGTATATGCCATATTAATAGACATTATTTTGCCTGTCAGAAAATTTGAAATACTTGTTTACAATATATGTTGCCTGATTATAATCTGCTATCTCATCTATACCCTTACTACTTTTTTTTCTGATTATGTATACTGAAGTGGGATTTAATCAAATACTGTAGTTAGTGTACATAAAACTTGCTAATGGAATGTTAATATATTGCTTTATGTGGACAATTAGGGGACACTAATGAACCACCAAACCAGACTGCTGTATTTTAAATTAAACTTTCCTCCTATTCATCACAAAAGCTGGGAAACAGTTTTAATTAAAGAGAAACAAAAATTACATCATGAAGCAATTGAATGTAACATGAAAGAGAGAACTATAAAAAAAATAGAACTTTTAAAGCTGTAATCTTTTCAGAAATATAGAATCACATTGAACACAGCAACAGCTAAATGGAAATGTTGAAAAGGAGACCAAATTGGTGTTCTTTACAGAACCTCTCTCCCCCTTTGAAGATCTAGAAAATAGCTCTCTAAGTTTAGGATCATCAGCCTTTCAAGATGATTGGTGAAAAGGATGATAGCTTAATTTGTAATAGACCGACTTCAAAAATGTTAAATGAAAGTGCATTTCTAGGCCATTCATGAGAGAATCAGTGAATTGTATGTTACAGTCATAGCTCATTCTAAATCTCACCCAAGAGCTATGAGGGTTGAGCTTCTAAAATTCTAAGAACTGGAGTAGGAGGGGCACTGGACTACATCAGGAAACAAATATAGCACAAAAGAGAGTGGTTGAAAGCCAGAGAGGAGGTATTAGGACCATTGTTGATGGTTGTTAACTTACTTTAGGATGGGGAGTGTACTTTCAAGTGAGCAGTGGTATGGCCTGGATCCAAAAGCAATAACATAGATATCTATCTTCTCTTAAACTTCATATTTTTAGGAGGATGAACAAGGTATCTTTGGCATCATCTGGAGTCATCTGATTTTCTTGACCCCTATCAATTAGGTTTTAGTCCTGGGCACATGGCACAGATAGATACTATATTTATTTCCTTGGACACTGATCTTGGAAATGGAAGGCATCCCTCTCTTGGCATTGCATACTGTCTGATCTTTTCCACTAATATACTTTATGGCAAATTGTGTATGCAGGAGTGGGTTTGGCTAGTGGTTCTCAGACATTTTCATAGTGTGTGCCATCTGCAGAGAGGTTGTCTCTCAGACATTTCCTTCACACTCACAATAACACAACATCCATGTGGCACTCTGTAGCAATTGTTTACATGGAAAAATAACATTAGGAAAGTGTTTGGTATTTTATCTCCTTTTAATGTAATAAGTGTTTTGTCCTTTTTGCAATGTTAATTGCACTGTCTGCTTTTGCTCTTAATTTAATCTTATCCTCCTATCTATACTTTCCCTTTTGCTGCTGCTTCTTTCTATCCATATAGTTCAGTCATGGTCCTCTTTCCCTCTGCCCTCCTGGACATGCTGCCTGGCTTCCCATTCTCTCTTGCCTTACTTCCCTGGACTTTTCTTTGCTTCCTTTGCCCACTGGTGACTCTGGTTCCTGAGAGGTTTCAGAGGAACAGCCGTGTTAGTCTGTATTCGCAAAAAGAAAAGGAGTACTTGTGGCACCTTAGAGACTAACCAATTTATTTGAGCATGAGCTTTCGAATTCCTGTTTCCTTGCCTTTTCTCCTGAAGCTCTAGTAGAGGCAGGTCCCTTCATTGCTCCTTTTACAGGCCTGCAGTTCAGCTTTGTAATAAAGATTGTAGACATCTGTTAGAAGCAGCTAGAAACAAAGAAGCAAAGCTCTCTCTGGGCCACTGGTGGTCACAAAGTGCAGTTTCAGAACTGTTAGACTTTTTCTCTTTTGAGCGTCCGTTTTTGAGAAGTTTTAATTTATTTTAAATGTAACAAAGATCTCCCCCTCCCCCCTTTTTGCAGCTGTTGTTCAGTATAGTTTATAACAATTGAAAATACGCACACAATAGCCATTCCATTGGCAGCCCTGAAGTTTATTCAGTCTTTTGCTTGCTTACTAAATGCCTCCAGAAGAGCATTTGTAAGGTTGCTGCTTGGTTTTAGAACTCCTCTGAAACTTCAGAGATCTTGTGGGAGAAAAAAATCTATATTCTTGCAGTACAGGCAGGCGGTTTTCTGTTGCATGCATCTTTATGAAGTGTATCACATGGGGAGATGAGCTATTTGCATTTCTGATGAAGTTATATGGAGTCTCAGCTGTGGAAACTCTATGTTGTCCATTAAACTGAAAATGTCTCTAAATATTATCAGGGAAGTAGAGGCACATATGGAGATAAAGGGCACCTCCTGAGAGAACAGTTAATTGCCAGTCTCTGAATAGTTAAGATGACATTTTAAAATGATTGATAAAGGCATAATCGCTAACTGTGCCATTGATTATTGATGACTGAGACTAGGAAGAAATCAAAAAATGAGGTGAAGAATTTTAGGAGTTCATCTATATGAGTTGTGTTCTTTAGCAACTTAAACCCATTTTACTTCAGTTCAGCAATGTTTACAAACTAAAAAAAGTATAAACAAAATGCCTCAATTTTCACTTGGCCAGCATGTTCTATTTACTTCTATTGTGTTCACTTTTTCAATGGAGGACGAGTACATAGGACCCTTTTGGGAGCTCAGCAATAATGATATTACTTTGTGAATATTGTTTATGCAGGACATTTTTAGGACCCAGTCCTGCCTTTGTTAAAGTCAGTGGGAGCTTTTGTGATTCGCCTCATTGGAAGCAGGATTCAGGCCTTAAGGGTTGTTCATATAAAGACTCTATTTTTACTTATTTCTACCCTGTTAACTGAATTATATTTATTAATAAGGATCTGTTAGTTGAATAATACACAGGTGTAACAGTTTTAGTTTTGCTTTTATTAGTTTTTGAGAGGCTTTAAAAACATTACAGATGTGAAACTGTAGCGTATTAAACATCTCTTCTGAATCACAGAGTCAGCTCATTGGTGAGGAGCTGTAGTCTATTGTTTCTTTTATAAGGTCAAGATATGTGGCACTTGTGACTGTTGATGAG